AGATGTATGGATTGTGATGAGTTGTACGAGCCCCCAATAAAATGATATAAAAAATGGATATGTATTCAACAAATTATGCTGGAAAAAGTGGATCTCCATCTGCAGAAGAGTGAAATAGGACCCATACCTTGCCTCAAGCACAAAAATGAACTCAAGATGGATTTAGAGACCTAAATGTAAACCCCATATCTCTCAGAATCATCAATGAAAACAATGGAACAAACTTAAAGGTCCAATTTCAGGGCATACACCGCTTACCAAATATAACAAAGGAAGCAGACACAGTGAAAGACAGAACAGATGACTGAGACCTATTAAAAACAAACCCTGATGCTTATCAAAATGGATGAGGGTGGAAGCTCAACATCCTTCTGCAGGGTCCATAGACTGATCACAGTCTAGGGATGAAAACAGCCTTGCCATCAGACAGAGACCTGTAAAGGTGACTATGACAGATGTAATTAGGTTAAAATTTAATACCTTATCATTTGATCTTCCTTTTGACCCATTTAAAGTTATTTCAGTTTTTAATATTTTCTGCTTTCTTTTTGATTGAGGTTTTTCTATATTTTGTTTAGTCATTGTTGGGTTTTTGTTTTGTATAATTTTCTGTATATGAAATTCAGGATATGTAAATCTAGTGAGGCAGCAACTAGATTAATAATTACCTAGAAGTATGGCAGGGGAGAAAGGGGGAAATGAGGAGTTAACAATGAGCATACGAAAACAGAATGTTCTGAAATTGATTGTGGTGATGTTGCACAAGTCTTCTTAATATGACTGAATGATTAAATTGTATATGTGAAGTATAAACCAATAAGACTATTTTTAATGGTAAGTGAAGTAACATTTTGAAATAAAATTTTACAATTAGCCTATATGTAATGCAAAATTATTTTCTATTAAAGATATTATATTGGTGCTAAATCCAAAATTTGGCCAATATTTATGTTGGCATTGTAATATAATACAAATATGATCAAAATATCTTTACCCTTGAGCAATTTAAAATTTAATAGATGCAAAGATCATCAAAATAAAAAAATTTAAAAGTGGCATAAACAAGAAATAAAATATCACTTCTGGTGGATGCCAGAGACCAGGTTACAAAAGAGCTGAATTTTCGTCGCTTGCAATAACTTTAAAAGTAGATATGCAGGGACATACATGCTGGGAGAATAACAGAAGCAAAATAATTAATGTTATGTATGGGGGAATTTTTTAAATGACAAGAAGCCAAGAGAACAAAACACTGAGCTCATTGTTGTTGCCTCTTTTACACTATCCTTGCTTGCATTTGTTCATGCTTCTGGAAGCCCATGTATGGTTGATATTCTTCACTGACACCATAATCCAAACACATCCATTCTTCTACAGCCTTCCTTATTCCTTGTCCAACTTTTGCATGCACATAAGGTAACTGAAAATACCATGGTTTGAATACGGTGCACCTTGGTCCTCAAAGTGACATCTTGGATTTTTAACACCTTCGATAGGTCTTCTGTAGCAGTTCAATGCTTTCTCAGTTTTTGTTCCCGATGGTTAGAGGATAGTTTTTAGTTCTAAAATAAAATAGCATCTGTCTGCCCTTTACTTACATACTCTAACCATCCATCCATACTTTCAAAGTAATACCCCAATTGACTTCTTGATTGCTGCTTGCATGGGTGTTGACTATGAATTTAAATAAAAGTAAATACTTGACAACATTAGTATTTTCTGTTTATCATGAAGTTGCTTATTGGCTCAGGTCTAAGGATTCTTGTTTTATGTTGGGGTGTAATCCATACTGAAGGCTGTAATCTTTGAATACATCAGTAAGTGCTTCAAATCTTCATCACTAATGAACTTTCCTCCAATTTTGAGGCCATGTTCTTCCTTATACTCTCCAGTTTCTCAGATTATGTGCTCAGCTATAGAATGAAAAGTATGCTGAAAGTATACAACCCTGACACAAATTGTTGTGAGTCAGAATTGACCTCTTTCCTGGTTTAACATGAAGTATCCTCGTTACCATTTAAACAATTACTTCTTGGTCTATGTACAAATTCCACCTGTTCACAATTATGTGTTCTGGAATTCTATTCCTCACAATATTATCCATAAATTGCTATGATCCACTCAAATACTTTTGCATAGTCAATCATACACAGGTAAACATCTTTCTGGTATTCTTTAGCTTCTGTGAACTGACAACAGCAATGATATCCCTTGTTTCACACTGTCTTCTGAATCTGTCTTGAATTGCTGCCAGTTCCCTGGTGACATAATGCTGCAACTCTTTATAAATTGTCTCAGCATATTTTTTGGAATGAGAACAGTTGGCCCAGTTAGTTGTTGTCCATATTTCTTGAAAACTACAT